AATAGAAAATAAATGTAGTTAAGTATCACCATTTACACATAACAGGAATTCTTTTGATTGGAGGAATGGAATGATCAACCTCTTGCATAAAAAAACCCACAAAGAACACGAAATAGTCACAACACTACAAAATCAATGGTCTAAATAATTACTTACTCACAAAAATTTTGACCAAAGATATAAAATCACTAGAGCATAATTGTGACTTAGACTCTTACTAAAGTTTAAAATTTCAAAATTTTGCTAGTTATTTAAAGGGCAATATCACAGATGTCAGGAAGAGAGTTTAAAATGGTTTAAATGACCTGATCCTGACTGAACCATGACATTTTCGTGTTCTTTAGAATTGTTAAAATGTCACTCCTCAGCAGAAAAACACAACTAAAATACCAAATGCATCTGATTCATATTCGTTGGCAAAAACATTTAAATGTTACCAATCAACAGGGAAACACATTAGAAATACTTACTATTTCAAAATAGAAATTAAGCTTGTTATAAACAAGATCCAAAAGTATCCTTTTAAACCATGCGAAAAAAAGTGAAATACAGGGCCTCATTAAAAGTGTATAACATATGTTTGTCAGTATATAGACATGCAGTATGTCTACACAAGAATAAGTATGTTGATAAAATGATGGAACAAATAATTAACTTGATGATAAAGTTTCAAGTACACAGGAACAGTAGAGATCCATCCTTTTATGTACCTGCACCTTCTTCACAATTCACAAAACTAAGCTGATGGTGTGTCTGGAGTATAATAAAGAGCATCTATCCACAATCTTGTGAAGTCAGTCACAATGGTGCGGTCTTGCAGTGTTTGTGAAGCACCATATATAGCCATCTAAAATGTTGAAAAAAGAAAAATAAATCCTAGGTTTTGCTTAGAAATAACCAAAAACCTAAACATTGTACTGAACTCACCTTCCCATCCACATCTTGCTGAGGATTTTTCATGATCTCTGCAACGGCTTCCTCAACATCTTTAACAAATGTTTCTGCTCGTCCCTCTTCAGTGTGTAAGTGGGTAACACAAAGATGAATCCTACAAAATCCATTCTAACATGTAGTTACAATCCAAAGACACCTTGCTTTATGTTCAAACTAAGTACAGATATTCATACCCCTTGGGAAACTGCAAAGTATTCAAGTTCCAGCCCTTTGCTTGCATTGCTTCTTGCAGAATATAAATGTCGAACACTTTAGAACCTATGGCAACGACTGAGGTCACTGGCTTACCAAAGACGAAGATTCCATTAATTTTCCGCAGGCTGTAATGATTACAAAAGTGGGTAAATTTTGGGGCCTATAGTACCAAAAAGCGAAAGTTTAGTTTCTCAGAGAAAAACATACCCATCTTCAATTTGTTTTGTGGCTTTTACAATTTGGCGAGTTGCTTCTACATAGCCTTCCAAACCAAAATGCATGAAAGTTGCCCAACAAGTGGCAATAATGGCTGGGTAAAAGTAGAAAATCCATAATTATTGAAAATTGAAGGATTAATTAGGAGATCAGATCTAGGTAATAGCAGGATCAGGATAACACTACACTCACCTCCACAACGAGAGCCCCCCACTGTGGGAGACCCATACACACCACCAGGCCAGTCTGTTGTCACAGTGTATTGGTATCGCCTATACTTAGGCTCACTGTACATCAGTACAGATGAACCCTTCGGAGCAAATCCATATTTGTGAGTATCAGCAGATATACTTGTCACACCAGGTACACGGAAGTCAAATGGTGGCATCTTGTACTCAGTATGGTCCATGAAAGCAGCAATAAAGCCACCAAGACAAGCATCAACATGAACAGGAATGTTATATTTCATACCTAATTCTCCAATACTAGTAATATCATCAATTGTACCATAAGGGAAATTAGGAGCAGATCCAACAAGCTGATAAAGAGGGAAAAAAATAAAATAAATATTTTTAGCATCCTGTAAGTAGCTTTTGCACTAAAAAATAAGTGTTCCAACTTACCATACAAGTGTTCCTTGAAATTGCTCTTTTCATGGCTGCAATGTTGACTGTTGTGTCCTCATTGATAGGAATGTGTTTAATCCTGATACCAAGATAGTGGGCAGCTTTGTCGAAAGCAGCGTGGGCTGTGACAGGAACAATTATTTCAGGACGCTTGATACCCTTTTCTTCTTGAGCATAGTCTCTGTATGCTTTGCAGGCCATAAATATGGATTCAGTTCCACCAGTTGTCATCTGTAAATTCAGAAACATCTATTACACCTTGATACTATAATATGGTAGTGCCATACTCAAAGAGTAAGTAACTCACAGTCCCACACGATTCCAAACTGCCATTGAACAAGTTACAGGACATTCTTACAACCTCCGCTTCCATCTTGTTAACACCAGGGAAAACATCTGGATGCAAGGGGTTTGTGTAGAAAGCAGCACTACAAACTTCTGACAGCATTGAGATCAACTCAGGATTCCACATGTACAGAGAACCAGACAGATAGCCATCTTTCCACTTATATTCACCTAGAAAAGCAAAAATATATAACAGAAAGTTTTAACAAACATGCATAATAATTTGAATAGAAAAGATGAGCGACGTACCGAGCTCTAAGTATTCATGGACCTGCTTCAGGATCTCAGAATCAGCTTTCCCTTTCACAGGAAGAGAACCAAAGAAGACCTTTCCTTGATAACGTTTCTTGGCATCTTCTGAAAAGGACTCTTGAATTTTTTTAAGCTCACTATCAATCTTTTCTCTTACTGCAGGAATCCTTCGCAGAATCCTAAAAGCTGATTTTTTACACCTGATCCAGGCACTTTCTGAGGAAACAAGCAAAGTAAGAAATAAAATACAATAATATTTAAGCAGCATAAAACATTTATAACCATCTATGTAAACAAAATATCTGGAAACTAACCATCTCCATCAAAAATGAACTCAATAAGCCAATAACCAGCCAAAGTGCTGGTTGCTGTGATAGCCACGATCTGCCATGGTTCTTTGTGTCCAACCAACGAGTTGACGAACTCCTTGGAATGGGTAGCAGCAGATCTGATAACCTCCAGCTGCATTGTATACTAGCAAGCGGAGCAATTATCACCTGAACGAATAATGCAGTGACACTTTCAGAACAAACATGACACGATGACAAAGCACTTTGGGTAAAAACTGGGACCGTACCTAAAGCTGTTAAGAAATCACACTACCAGACACTTCAAATAAAAAGGGATAGTGTTCGGTGTGAAGAATGTAGACGACAGCTCACGAACGGGCCGACAGCCGACAGCGACCGTACTGCCACACCGCTACCACTGCTGCCACGGAATGTCCACTTCAGGAATGCTTTCCTATGTTGCCAACTGTCCGTACTGTAATTGCACTGGATTTAAGCCCTCACACGTACTACATTTCAAAAACAGCCAACAATATTTGAGTAAATAAGCAAGACATATTTTTTAGATCTGAAGAAATATCGCTTTATCTTTATTATTCTTATAGAATAAAGGTATCATCTTTACTGGTTGGTTAACCTTGACCCACCGGAATAAGTGGCCTTTTCAAAGCGACATGCAAGGCTCGCCACACCGACGGCTAATCAATGGAGTTAGTTGCAAAGCGACATGAAATCGTCCGAAACGCTCGACCTTGGCCAAGGACAAAGTACACCGACCGGCCCGTTGCCAAGCATTACATCCCTAAAAAAAGGAGAAGGCAGAGGTGTGCAGTGGCAAAATGTCATCCGTATGGCAGGCACACCTTATGTCAAATTAGCTTTAATCGGATAATTCA